GTAGAAGTTTTTAACCAGCGTAAATATAAAACCAATAGAAATACACACAGCGCTGCATTTCAAATTGTACCAAAAAGGTCTATGTAGTGTGAATGTACTTTTTGGTTTCAAATTGTACCAAAAAAGCACAGTTGTGGCAACTTTATCATCACTGATTCACCGCGTTGTACACTAGCTTCTATGAACTGAATGAGCAGTACATTCACATTCGACTAAGTCGTGTAAATGCTAGAAATGAATGTCGCATGCAGGGTTCTAGTGTATAATAACCCAAAAAATTTGCAAGAGAGCACTGAATCGAGAACGTAATAATACGGGAGAGCTTTTCTTGCTAGTGTAAATTTTCCAAGGAGGAATTAGCTAGCAGAAGAAGAAGACTAAATGTCAAAAGCCGCCGTTTGTTGAGTTGGTTAAGCATAAACTTAAGTAAAATGAGTGGAAATCAAAATATTAATGATGTACTGCACTGTGTAAGTGCTTGTGTGTAAGGCAGAGCTCGAAAATATCCCTCTCCACTATTTAAGAGAAAAAAATAACCCACAAAACAGAACAGGTGGTTTATTTTTTGTAGATGTGTGCTCCTCTCAGTGGGAAAGGGTTATTTGCATATCTTTATCCGTTGCTGTTGGACACGGAAACTTATCGCTGGAAGAGGAAAACTAAGTGTTAAAGCGCGGTTACCCGCGAACGTGTATGCAGGGTACCGTAGAATTGCGTAGAAACATAACAAATTTGCCATTCGATAACAAAATCGATACCCAAATCGATAACGATATCGATAACAAAATCGATTAAAATATCGATAATAAAATCGATACCCAAATCGATAAAAATATCGATAACAAAATTGATATCCAAATCGATAACAAACTCGATAAAAATAACGATAACAAAGTCGATAACATTATCGATAACAAAATCTATTAAAATATCGATACCCAAATCGGTAACAAACTCGATAAAAATATCGATTATTATATCGATAAGTCCCGAGAATACCGAAAATCCCGAAGTAGTTCCAAGGTTGAGTCTCTGTGACTATATCATTTTGTTTATAAAATTACCTCTATTTTAATCTTTCTTCCTTCTTCCTTTATCTTCATCTTTACTCATCCTTATATTTTTCTTAATACAGTGGTCGTCCAGTATAACGAAAGCCTATATAACGAACGCTCCAAATAGCGAATGCCTTTTCAAATGTATTGATTACTCTAAATAACGAACGGTTGAAAAAAGGAGTATTCTATATAACGAACGCTTGTTTACTTTATGTGCTTGAATGACATGATTTTGCATGATTTTTGCGTACGTGGAATTACCATCAGTTCAAAAGAATGACGGGTGCTCAAAATTCTGAAATCACTCGCATAAACTACTTTTTAAGAGTAAATTTTTGACGTCTTAACCCATTATTGATCGTGCATTAACTAGGGCTGGGACTATCCGCATATTCGAATATCCGGATATCCATGCGGATTATCCGTTGACACGAATAAAATCCGGATGGTATGGATATCCGCTTAATATCCGCTTGTGCAATTATTCGGATATCCGGATTTACGATGATCTGCTAGCTAATTTCTCCTTGTAAAATTTTCACTAGCAATAAAAGCTCTCCCGTGTTATCACGTTCTCGATTCAGTGCTCTCTTGCAAATTTTTTGGGTTATTATACACTAGAACCCTCCATGCGACATTCATTTCTAGCATTTACACGACTTAGTCGAATGTGAATGTACTGCTCATTCAGTTCATAGAAGCTAGTATACAACGCGGTGAATCAGTGATGATAAAGTTGCCACAATTGTGCTTTTTTGGTACAATTTGAAACCAAAATGTACATTGACACCACATAGACCTTTTTGGTACAATTTGGAAATGCAGCGCTGTGTATTTCTATTGGTTTTATATTTACGCTGGTTAAAAACTTCTAC